GTTCGACAGTGAACAACATCAACAAATTGATGATAATCAACAGTCTTGATTATTGGCAGGGGATTGTGCTGATATCAAGTCCTAGAAGGTACTGGTCATCTACTCATCCAATTGGAACGTTGATCAAAATGAAAGTAGTCATTACAAAGGCTTGGAATTCGTATCAAGAGTGTTGGAGATGAATCGAAGTAATTATGACAATTCTGACAGAAGACAGACTTTGACAAGAGTAGTCTGACTGGTTTGGGAAACTATTATGTCAGAGAGAGCCGTTCTAACGCTGGTGAGCAACAGAGAGTCGTTCTGTTGTTGGCAACAGTAGAACCAACAGCTACTTCATGGAGTTGAGTTGCAAACGGTCATTTAAGGTTGGATATATATATATAGTCCATGAGACATAGTGGGGTTGGGTGGAAACGAACAAACCAAGTTTGTAGCTCTTGAGTCTTCTTCTTTGCTTTGCTTTTATTGATAGTGACTGTGTTATTGTTTATATATCTTTGAGGTGATACTGAGTTGTAATCATAGTAGAGTCAAGTGTACAAGTGTAAGAATAATGGTTGTCTCTTAATAGTGTGATCTATCATGTGAAAGGAATAACACTTGGCAGTTTAAACTTGTAGTGCTGATTATTAATAGATTTCAGCCTTGTTGTAACTATTAGTGTGAAGAGTGGACGTTGGCTTGAGGATAAAGCCGAACCATTATAAATCTCAGTGTAGCATCTTTTCTATCTCTGTATTATCAGCACTCCTGATTTCGATGGTCATCATCAGCACTACTTATTACGTTAAACTAGTTCTGGTGCTGGTGAAGTTTAACTTGTATTCCACAAAAGTTTGCTTATAGTTTTCATTCAACACATTCGCCCCCACTCTATGTTGTATTGTTAGCCCCAACATTTTCCATGATGGAGACCTTTCTCTATCTTGAAGCTGAAGCCCAATCAAATTTGAGGTCAAATCTCCATCAACCTAGCGTAAATGATGCGAGTGCATCAAGTTCTAATAAGAAGAATGCATCCAAGATGGAGATTCAACAAGATTGAAGAATAATGACTCATTCAGCTAATTCAAAGGTTTCCTATATCAAGTTGGTTTCCTCTTTTGAGTAGGTTCCTAATTTGATTAGGTTTCCTAGTTTAATGTTTCCTAATTAGATGTTTCCTAGTTTTATATTTCCTAGTTTATTTTTTTGGTTAGACATATTTCCTTGTTTAAGGTTTCCTATTTTGATCTTTCCTAGTTTAAGATTTCTTATTTTAACATTTCTAGTTTGATGTTTCTTAGTTAAGTGTCCTAGTCCCTCTATAAATAAGAGGTGCTTCTCAATTGTAAGATGCAAAATTGTAAGTTGATAATTTATGAGAGTTTCTCTCAAGTAAGCACTTGAACGAGTGTGTAAGATCAATGGCAAGTTTTCCGGTCAACATTCTAATGGAGATCTTCTTGTGACTCTCTGCAAAACCTTTGGTTCAATTTAGGTGTGTATGTAAATCTTGGAATTCTTTTCTCACTGGCCCCTTTTTCATCAAAGCTTATCTTGAGAGATCGATAAGATTGCACAAATTTGATCTTCTTAAGTACGACTTCAACGACTTTTTGAGAATACAGATCCGCTATTCTCCCAAAAGTGAATTATCGGATCTCGATAATTCATTTGTCGGAGATGGCCAACAATTCGAATTAGTTGGTTCATGCAACGGAATCATTTGTTTGTCCACTTTTGACCACAAGAACCCTCACCACTCAAAGATCTTTCTATGGAACCCATCAACTGGTGAAAACAGAGCCCTTCCTCAACCCAACTTGCATGTGTCAAAGTTGGTTGGATTCGGGTTTGATCCCTCAAGTGGTCATCCAGATGACTTTAAAGTGGTCAACGTGAATATACATTTTGAAGAACATCTAAACTACACCTCCCACGTGGAGGTGTATGATTTTAGAAGAAATTGTTGGAAACAAGTTGGCAACATTTTCACTCCATCACTTAGCCACCACTTAGGCAATCAAGTTATCTTTAAGAATTTCTTCTGTTGGTGCCCTATTTTTTACCTCAACCATGAATTTGTCACATTGTTGATCCTATTTGACGTTGTTAAAGATGTTTTCCATAGAATAGCACTTCCAGATATACTGCCTCCTGAAGAGAAACATATCAATTTACTGGATGGATGCTTGTCTCTAACAACAATTAACTCATCAGCCGAACATTACGAAGTATGGATCATGAAAGAGTTTGGTGTCCCCGAATCGTGGACCAAGTTGCATAAGATTAGAGCGTCTGAGACGAACATTTTGAGTTATATGCCAGTGGGGATTGCAAATTCTGGAGAAGTTTTCTTCGTAAAGATATCTTTGAAAGGTGAACAACACTAATGTGCCATTTCTTATGTTCTATACAACGTGGGGAGTGAAGAGTTTGAGGAATTTGGAGTCGAAGTCCATTCTTGCTATGGCACTCGATTGGTTCCTTGTATAGAGAGTTTGATTTCTCTCTCGTCCACAAACAATGTTGAGCATTAGTTGGTTGCGAAAATTGCTTGCGATTTATTGAGGAGACTTCCGTTTGTATCAATAAGATTCTCTCTTTTATTTCCATTTACTTTTCATAATGTAGCTCTTAATCGGGTTTCGAATTCATGACTTGATTGCTGTGTTAGTTTAGAGTATTATGAGTGCAATCCCAAGTAAATGAATTTCTTTCCCTAATCTTTCTGTGTGTTCCTGAATGTAATGTATATCTTCGTGCATTAGCAGATTGATTGCATTCACTAATTCACAGTAAACACATCATGCATCCCTCAGTCTTGTTCTTGTTCTTTCTTGGTGAGCTGACTCGACAAAGAGCTTTCGATAAATTGTACAAAGCAGCAAGGCAAAAAGAAATCTTCGTAAAGTCCCAAGGCATCGGCACATCCAAAGAAATCGACTGCCATTTACATGTAAATCATATGCAACTCGTGAAGTCTTAAAGAGATTTTGCCTAGCACCTGAAAAAACTGTGCGACAACAATGGCAAGCTTGCCAGTTGACATTCTAATGAAGATTTTATTAGTACTCCCGGCGAGACCTTCGATACAATTCAGGAGTATGTAAATCATGGATGTTTGTCTCTAACAGCACATAACTCATCATCCAAATATTATGAAGTATGGGTCATGAAAGAGTTTGGTATCGTTGAATGATGCACCAAGTTGTACACTAATCCAAGTGTATTCCAGAAGCATTACACGATAATGGGGTAAGGACACTATAAATGCTCTAACTTTCGTACGACGCTCACTTGAATGCCATAATTTTTTTTTATTACTTGAGTGCTAAAACTTATAAAAAAAACATTCACTTGAATATCAGAACTTTCATGTCACGCCCCGAACCCCAACGGGCTCGCGACACCCCTTCGACGGTCGTATTGAACACGACGTCCCGGGACGCGTCGCCGACCCAAACGAAACACCTAAAGTCGTATGCAAGCGGAAGCGAAATTTAAACAACCCAGGCAAGAAACATTCAAGAAGGGGTAGCCGAAAGGTACGTACTCAAAACAAGAATACATTTAATATAACTTACAACCTTCACATTTACATCACCTTACACCAGGCTACTAACATCGAACCACGTTCATCAAAAGGGTGGTGGTTGGGTAGCCTAACTTCACTATTAAAAAGGGCATCCAAAAAGGGGTAAAGCATCAATGTCCAAAACCACTCCCCGGTCTCCAAACCGCGCGTGACGACTATTCGTCACTCCAAGCCTGAAAATATTTAACAAAGGGAATGAGATAAATCTCAATAAGCAGACAACCTAAACCCCACCTAGGCCAATGCGTACCCAGACAAGTCTCAACATGTAATCTAACCATCGACAAATTAGAAATCACATAAACATACTTACCTCGCTTCTAATCATGCATCAACTCTGCATATTAGTCAAATTGCTAAAATACAATATATTACAATCGCTTGAGCGCCATATACACGTGCATTCATTCACTTTGACCAAATACATTACACATGCGCATCCATCCAACTATCCACGACCCGCGTAAACACGCCTCAGGTCCTTTCTCACAGCCTGCGTCAACACGCCTCAGGCCCATTCTCACAGCCTGCGTCAACACGCCTCAGGCCCCTTTCTCACAGCCCGCGTCAACACGCCTTAGGCTCAACTTTCTTTCCAATGACCCGCGTAAACATGCCTCATGCCCAACTTTCCTTCCACTGACCCGCGTAAACACGCCTCAAGCCATTCAGACAAGCGCATACGCCACATTATTCAATCAATTACCGCGTCTTTCACATATTCGAACATCGCCCAAGGATATTCGATCAACCACAATACCATTCGCCACTCATGCGCACCAAGACAACCACAATTCCACCAATTCAAGTCATGAATCACTAACCCGACCTTGATCACATTCGACAGTGACAACCCACTATTAATTCACCATATATGAACACAATTCAAACATTAGACCACACGGGACAATCACACACTAAATCGATATTCTAGCATCAACGGCCCTTCATACAATCGCACTAAGTCACAGCTCACATAATGCGCGTTATCCCCATCACGAATCATCGACACGAACTACCATCAAACGAACATTAAATCACACACGAACAATCATTATCCGCGACACAACTTCCAGCATTGATCAACTCCAAAATCAGCCACAAAACCGATCATAAATCACCTCGTTTCAGCCCACATTCCGACCCATTCATTCGCCCCGAACCAGCCAATAATTCCGTCACCAAACCGCACTAAACGGCCACCAAATCAACCCCGAACAGCCCCTAATCAGCCACATTTCCACTCCAAACGACCTCTAAACAAGTCTATTAACACCCAAAGTCCCAGATAAGGTTTAGGGTGTCGCTTACCACGGGCCTAAGCGAGAACAAGCCGAGCAAGGGTAGCGAGGGGAACCGGAACAGCAGCAGCAGCAGCCTCGGCACAGCCACAACTCCGGCGAACGCGCGGCGGCTCATGGCGGCGACGGATGAGCGGCTGCTACACGGAAGAGGAGGCGGACAGGGGGCCGAAGCAGGGGCGGTGGCAGCAAGGGCGGCCTCGGCGGCGGCCGGACGACCGGACGGCGGTGGCGGGAATCAGCCAAGCACGGCCGCACGCGAAGGGGCAGCTAGGACCGAACAGGGGAGAGAGGACGGAGGGGGGGCAACGGCGAACGGCCAGGGCAGCAGCGTCGGTCGACGGTCTCCGTCCCTAGACGGGCGGTCGGACCGGCGAACACGGCGGCTGGCGAGCGCGGCGGCGGCTGGTGGTGGCCGACCGTGCTTGGCCGCGCGCGCACGAAGGAGAGGAGGAGGACAGCCGGGTCGGGGAGTCGGCTGGACGAACGGCACGGCTGGGCGGACGGTCGCGGCGGCGACGGGTGACGATGGACGGGCGCGACGGAGAGGCGACTGTGGGGAAGCAGGGTGGTGGCGGTGGTTGAGGGGGAGCTGGGTGGTGGCGGTGGAGCAGCGTCAGCAGCAGGCGTCGGCCGTGGGCGGCGACTGGGCAAGAGGGAGGGGGAGTGGCACACGGCGGGAGACGGGCGGCGGCTGGGCCGACGAGGGGCAGCACCTGCATGCGGCTCCGGCGGCGCTGGGTGGTCGGGGGGGCAACGAACGGCGGCGTGGCTCTGTTGGGGTGGAGCCGGGGTGGTAGCGGCTCGTCGGCGAGAGGGAGGCGGCTCCGGTGGGACAGGTCTGGTCAGCGAGCAGCAAGAAGAAGGAAGCAGAAGCCGCGGCACAAAGAAGAAGGGAAGAAGAAGAAGAAAGAGAAGAAGAGAAAGAAGAAGAAAAAGGAAGAGAGAGAGAGAAGGAGTGGACAGCCATGCAGACGGGGGGGAGGGGACGTGCGCGCAGGTTGGGCGTGGCAGAGGAAAGAGAGAGAAAGTCAAATAAAATACTCAAGTGCAATTCAACGGCCACAAAACAATCTGGCGAGCTTGATCCAACGGCCACGAAAATCCTAAATTCGAAATTAAGAAAAAAGCTAAAAGACACTAAATAAAATATACTACGATGGAGGTCTGCTAGTCTAAATCTGTACCCAGTCCAAATTTCACTTTTTATCAATTCTGGGTAATATCAACGCTGGCCACAATAATATCGACACCGTCCAATTAAATTCGTCACGAAACTCCGAGAAATTCGACACCAAAGTTTGGGCTCTAAATAACGGCCAAATTCGATCGAGTGCGATTCTAGCGAAATCTCTAATTTAAAAAATAACCCTAGAGTGATCAGTTCTGAGCGAGATTTAACTATAAGCGCACCGACGAAATACATATTTTATAAATCTCAAAAATGGGTCGAAATTCGGAATGTCACAACTTTCAATTGATCACTTAAGTGCCATAACATTATAAAAAAAAAAAGGTTCATCCAAGTGCCGGAAATTCGACATGGCATGACACTTGTGGTGAATGTTTTTAAAAAGTTATGGCACTTAAGTGATCGATTAACAAATTATACGGCACTCAAGTGATTACAAAAAAACTTATGGCATTCGGTTGAGCGCCTTACATATGTTATGGCACTTAAGTGAGAGCTGCACAAAAATTATGATACTTGTGATGTCATTTTTCCCCACGCAACTCTCTACTTGGATTTGGAAATTCCGAAGCAATTTTCTTCTGCGCGAGCATTCGTGTGAGTTTACACTAGAACATCACGTAAGTAGAGACAAGTTTGAAGTAGTTGAAGTCAAAGTGGATTCCTACCATTGCAGTCAATTGGTTATGTGCATAAGAAGTTTGATTTCTCGTCATCCATAAATCAGGTTAACCATTGGTTAGCTTTTGCTTTTATGACTAATAATGTACAGGAGGGATATATGTTGTACTACAACAGAAGTGATATTAGCTATGTCCAATTTGAGTGACGAAAAATGCAATCAAGTCTTAAAAACTATTAAGAACTGCAGTTAAATCTTGAACAATTAATACCTCCATTAGTTATGTCCAATTTGAGTGATGGAAAATGCGAATTTAATGTATTCTAATGACATGTGGCAATGCCAAACCTAAAAAAAATAAATAGAAAATAGCCCAAAAAAGAAGAAGAAAAAAACGAACAAAAAAAGAAGGAAAACTCGACAAGAGAGAGTGGAGAGAGATGGTCGGCAAGGTCTGTGGAAGGGGCGCACCGCTGTCCCGACTTCGCCGGCCAATTAGTTCTTATAAAAAAAATTTAATATTAGAAGGCTTGGATAAATATTGTTGGCCCATTAACAACCTGATTGTAACGTACGTAACGAATGAACTCGAATCGAATTTGGCACAAGAATCTTTAGTATCATATTTTTCCACCTGGATTTTTTCCCTTTTGTCCTCGAAACTAAAAATTCCATCGTGATTTAATCTCATATATGTGCACAGTCCATGTGATTCTTAGTATATCACGAACTAAACTAACACACACATCAAAAAATGACTTGCTCATATGTTTTTTACAGTGTAAATTAGAGGGAATGGGTGAATTGGTTGACAAATGAAATTTGTATGGTTTTCTGCAAAAGCACTATCTGCCTTATAATCTGTGAAGGCTGAATTCCACTGCTAAATCAAGTAGATCTCAAGTTGCAAATTCTTCACGGTAGCGACCACAGTTACTCTAAGAGCCCCTTGGTGCTTAGAATTTCACAAAGCTCTCCCACTTTATATTTACAAGAGAATAAAACTCCCCGAGTACAATTTAGAAACTCTGTCAAGAAGTTCGCAAGTCTAAGTACAAGAGTGATAACAATAAGCAAATATAAGCTCTCGGTGTTTCTTAATTCTTCTCGTATTTTTCCTTTAGTCTGAAAAGCAATTTTCTCAACCACCTAATGCTCAACCCTAATTGTGGATGAGAGAGAAATCAAACTCTCCACACAAGTAACCAGTCGTGTGGTATTGTAGGACTCGACTTCAACTTCAAATGCCTCAAACTTCTCACTTTCTCGGTTGTATAGAACCAAATAGTTGGGAGACTCGAAGAGTGAACCCATGTATGTGCTCTTAACGAAGAAAACTTCTCCAGAATTTGCAAACCCGACTGGCCAATATCGCAGGATGCTTCTTGTAGGCACTCCGATCGTATACAACTTGGTCCACGATTCGTTGACTACTTTAATATATATGTTCACGTTGACTACTTTAAAATCATCTGGATGACCACTTGTGGGATTGAATCCGTATCCAACCAAGTTTGACACATGAAAACTAGGTTGAGGAAGTGCTTGTTTTGACCGGTCGCTGGGTTCCATGGATAGATCTTTGAGTGCTGAGGATTCTTACTATCAAAAGTGGATAAACAAACGATGCCATTGCATGAACCAACTTGAATTTCTCGCCATCTTCGACAAATGAAATATCGAGATCAGATAGTTGGTTTTCGGGAGGATAGCGAATCTGTACTCTTGAAAAGTTGTCCAAGTCATACTTAAGAAGATCAAATTTGTGCAATTTGATCGATCTCTCAAGATAAGCTTTGATGAAAGGAGGCTTTGCGAGAAAAGATTTCCAAGATTTACATACGCACCTAAACCGGCCCAAAGTTCTTATGGAAAGCCTTGAGAAGATCTCCATTGGAATGTCATCCGGAAAACTTGCCATGGATCTTGCCCATTTGGTCAAGTGCTTAGCATCTCTTTGAACTCCATCATTCTCTTCTGCTTTCAATGTAAATAGTGGTGAATTTCTTTGGATGCAACGATGCCTTTTTATTCTATCCGGCACTTCTTTGGCCATGTTAATTTGTTATATTATGTCTTGTTAAAATGTCCTTGTCAGCCTAGGGTTCTTAAGAAAGAACCATATAATGGTGCACCCCGACTTGAGAGGTATAGTTGGGGTGTTGTTCAAAATGTATATTCACGTTGACTACTTTAAAGGATCGACTTGGAAAAGACAAGTTTCCCAGTCGTGGACAAACGGATTGATCTGTTTACACCCCGAATACAAATAAGCACAGATAAAACACGCTTTAACTCTTGAGACTCTTCTACATGTCTAGTAATTAAAAGTCTATGTCAGAGGTCGATTGAAAGCCATTGCAATTCCTCCTTAAGTTTTGTATATAATGCGCTCTTTTTCATCATTTCATATCATCCGCGGTGATATGTAATTCACATGATTCCATATGCGCCTTTTCACATTTCCCAACTTGTTTGATATTTGTTTCTCTTCCCCATCTGAATGCACATGATTCCATATTCTTTGGTGTTGAGTTCATCCTTTAAGCTTCTTCATCCTAAAGCTGCAATCTACGTGCTCCATTTTCGAACTACTTAAACGAAAGCACAAGGGTTTCTATGTTTCTATCATTGTTCTACCTTCTCATTCCTATTTTTCCATGTTTTATAAAGAAGCACAATATCACTGGAAAAAACATGACAAGAAAGATATTTTCCTTAAGTAATCTTGATGAGCTTGTGCGTTGTATTCACAACCGTTCGATGTTTTAAACATTGACATTCTTCGCATGACAATGTATGTCACCTTTTTCCTTTAGCATGCATTGACATTTAAGTAGGCACATTTGACAGTGTCCCTCAAGCACCTTGCCAAGGGCAAAACACAATCATAATGAATGATTCTTTTACATACTCTGCCTTTGATATCATAATTAAATATAAATCGTGATAGAGTTTTTAGCACCCAAAACAAAAGGGACAAAAAAATACCCCAAATTCGGCCCAAGCTCATTCCTTCAATCGGGTTTGGCATTAGGCCTACAAACATTACTCGAGATTTCTATTACATATCCTAAAATTCCCAAGTACACCATTATTTTATTGACTTCAAGTGTGTTAAGATATTGTCTCACATCGTTTGACAATGAACAAAATCTCTATGAAACCAATCACCATTATTTCATGTGATCTCACTCCATTTACCAGCTTTAGCCTTTGATTTGGACTTTCTAACAAAATCTTTTCCCAAGCATCATGGGCATTATGAAACTGGTTTTCTTTTGTGCGAGATTTCTTGACATGAAAACGGCGTTCCTGTTTCGTATCTCCATCATATGGACATCTACTTGCATTCCAACAACCCGTTCATTGATTCACCAGATGACTAATTACACAGCAATCCATTCATAAATTGAAAACAATGCTAAGAGCTATATTATGAAAAAGTACATGGAAATGAAAGAGAGGATCTTAATAATACAAGTAGAAGTCTCTTTAATATAGAACAACATAATTCTCTACAAGTATTCTTTCGTCTGAAAAGCAATTTGCCCAACCACCTAATGCTCAACATTGTTTGTGGAGGAGAGAGAAATCAAACTCTCTATACAAGTAACAAGTCGAGTGCTACAGTAGGAATCGACTTCGACTTTAAGTGCCTCAAACTTTTCACTCCGTACGTTGTATAGAAGCAAATAAGTGGGAGATTTCAAGCGTAAACCCCTATACCTTCTGCTTACGAAGAAAACTTCTCCAGAATCTGCAAACCCTAGGGGCCGAAAACACACAATGCTTCTCTCATAGACACTCCAATCGTATACAACTTGGTCCACGATTCGCAGACGGCAAACTCCTTCATGATCCATACTTCATAATGTCTAGTCGATTAGGGGTGTGCAACTGGACAGGGTTTATCCGGAAATCGGACCGGCCCACCCGAAAAACAGGTCCGGGAACCGATTCCATTTTTTGGGAACCGGTTAGAA